GATATGATTTCTTAATTTTTAAGCTATAACATCATCTTCTTGACACCTGGTATAATAGGCCAAGCAAATAAAATGTTTACTCCAAAAAAGTCTTATCCGCGAGATTATTGTAAAATTGTCTAAAGGAACATAATACAAGACATCTCTCATCTCGTGAATAAAAAAAATTAAGTATAAAAGAAGCATTTTTTCTGGGGTTCAGGGCTATTCTACGAATTCGTAAATATGCACATTGTTATTTTTTCGCCGAGCTACACCAGTTCTTTTAAAAAAGAATTTTCTACGATGAATAGAAGCCGAGACATTGCAAAATTTATAGCGCGCATCAATTTGAACTTAGCGAGTACCTTCTCTTTAAAGGGCTCGTGAGTCGTTAATTTTCCACATATTTCAATGCAATTCACGGGAAATCGTAGTTTACGTCATAAACTTTATTTTGCGAAAAATTCCAATCTTACCTAATGTTTATAAACAAATGCGCTACGATTTAAAAATAAAATTATCTTGGCTCCTGTTGGTCGTAGAGGGTGCTTTTTTTAAAAATCGTATTTTTTTGCCAGCTATCCATTGTATCTATTTTCGGTGAGGTAGCATAAATAGCAACAATTACAATGACGCTTACAGAATCATGTTTGGTTGAAAATTAACGCTTGAACAGAGGCTTAAGTTCATAATTTTTGGAGCCTCCCTTATAAACAAATAGAATTGTGCGAAAACTATTGCACCTACAGCGCCCACTTTTGGCACACATTTAAAGTATGACAAAACCCTCAACTTGTCATAGGTTTTATAAAATTTTAACAATAAATGCGATAGTTATAAACAAATGAAAAAATGGGCACTTTTCTTGTTTTTTTGCAATAACTTTTTTGTTTATTAACCGATTTTAATTTAACCAGTCTCATTTTGTAGATAATTTTACTCCCTATAAGCTGTCTGTGAGTCACTTTTCGCTAAAATTGATGGTTTTCCCTGCAAAGTGAAAAAACTGTTTTCCTCACTTATTTGTTTAAATAGAAAAGTTAGCTAATAAAAGTTTTTGACTCACGAGATGAGAGATGTCTTGTATTATGTTCCTTTAGTCAATTTTGCAATAATTTCGCGTATATGACTTTTTTCGAGTTTCTCTTTTATTTTCGCTAATTTTCCTGGTGTATAAGAGAATCCCACAGATAAGAAGAAATCTAAGGAAAACAATCAGATAACAAGTCATTTGATAATGTATAATAGTAAAATATTTTCCAAGAAGAAATGAATATACACTTTTATGATTGGTGATATTTTCCTAAACGAAATAAAAATGGACCATAGTTCACACTGTATATGTATATCACCATTTTAGTTACTTTTACGTCGTGGCTTAAGCTATTCGCACACTTGTATACTTTTGGTATTGCGTAATCTGGAAAATTGCCCAACTTTGGTATTGCAAAGTGGGAACAGCGCTGCAAGTTCAATATATTGCACAAGCTGTAAAATTACTAGCATCATTTCATGTTACGAGTTGCGTACATCTAAAAAACAGTTATGTGTGAACAGTTAATAACACAGGAGTTGCGCAATATAAAAGTGGACCAATAGTGTAGTGAAAGGATGTCGAAAGTAGTGTCAATCTCACCCTCCGTTTTTGAGGGTGCTGAATTAGAATTTGAGGTCTGTTAAATACCTAACCATGCGCATAGCCCGTAGTTGACCAAAAACCATCCTTTTTTTTATTTCGGGACCCCAATATTGTGGCGCAATATCTGTATTAATTCTTGCAAATACGACAACTCTGCTACAACGTTTTTAAATCCATTCTTTTACCCAAATTATTTTTGTATTTTTTCGACATTTTCTCTTTTGTTGCTTTCGTAAAAAAATTGGTAAAGAGGATGTAAATTGAACTTTTTTATGATGATCTGAATCCACTTTTATCCTCCTGGTATTGTATTTCAATATATACTACTCACAGGAAATATTTTTTTACCGCTTTATAAAATTTGGGACCGCTTCGATTAATACAGAGAGATCCAGAATTATTGATGGTGCCGATACTTACAAATATTTTGTGTGCCGCTCTTATATTATTTTCACTCTTCGTAGTTGGCAAGACTGACACTGAATTACTTCGTTCAGTGGTGGGTTAAGTGCAGTGGAAATAGGGTCATATATTCATTTTAATCACAAAAATACAACGCAAAAAGCAGAATGTTGGCATTAATTAATTTGAGGGGTTTATTAATTTGTTATAGGAATGGATTAAATAAAAATGATTTATTAATTATTATTATTAACTTTAAAACTATCATAAGAATAGCTTTTTAACAATTATTGATCTATCTTGTTTTTTTATGCGAACTTCAAAAACAACAATTTTTAAATGAATTTACGTTTACTTCTCTCATTTAGAAATGCGAATAAAAATCGATTTAAAATTTCTTAAAAAAGTCTAACATAAAAAGAACATATTGAAAATAAGGATATTTAAAATAATGGCTTTATTGGTTTAAAGTTAAAAAAGTGAATACGTACTTTTAATTTTGACCAAAATTCTCTCCCTATCAGTAATAATAATTTTTATAATTAATTTGTTATAATTTCTAACAACTATTTATACATTAATATAAAGATTAAAAATATTTAATATTTCTAATCACAATTTACTTTCAAAATGTCTGCCTTCATTTTATATATGGTTTATATGGATTTGTTTAATGTTCCAAAGAGATAATAATATAAGGGAGGTAAGTCCGGAGATCTAGGAGGCCATAAACCTCGACTAATAATGCAATCGTCACAAAATTCTCTTTAGGCGGTTTTCCACTAAACGAACAAAACAAAAACAAAACACAAACTTGTGTAGAATAAAACAGGACTGTAACTTTTCGCAAACTTTTTGAAGACTGGCGTGTTTTGCGACAGTTGGAGTTTTGTTTTTCGGGTCCCGCTTCAAAAAGGCGGTTTTCCACTAAACGGACAAAACAAAAACAAAATACAAACTTGTATCGAATAAAACAAAACTGTAACTTTCGGTCATCAAAAGGTTTCGATGTGTTTTGATACTCAAGTCTGTTTAGTGGAAACGGTCGTGTTGTGTTTTCTATTTAAGTGATCCAACCCAATATCTATGTTGGCGTTTTCTTCTTCCCAAAAACAATATTTTAATCATTAATGAATTTATAGCTATTAAAAAATATATATGTGTACAGTTAAAGTGTTTACTTGGCTAGGATACAAACTAACCAAGTAAACACTTTAAACGTACATATACCACGAACTCCATCGATGGATATCTGGGAAACCGCTGGAAGGATTTTTTTGAAATTGTGATACGGACTGTGGAGCCTAGCAAGCTAAAATATGTTCAAGGTCATCGTGTTTCCGGTTTCTAAGTTTCTACTTTCTAAGTACTACTACTATACTAAGTTTCTTATTTTAAATGGAACCCCCTGTATATTATTGCAAAAAATAGGGGTTTCCATTTAAAAATTTCAAGTTTTCCACATATTCTGAACTTCATATTCGATAATTTTTTTTGACTACCCTGTACAAAAACTGGAAAATTTTTCATGTCAAATTCAATAAAGTAGGTCTTTCTCTACAAAATGTCCAATTTGCACAAAATAACAAACCGGGAAAACTAAATTTTGCTGACAGTCTGCATCTGTCAATTTTTGTTTAAAAATTGAAATATCTCAGAAACCGTCAATCCTAAGTATAGAGTGTGCTATATTTTTCAACTTAAAAATGGATGATGTTTCCAAATATACAATAATATACAAGGGGTTCCATTTAAAATAAGAAAGTTAGTATCGACTTCCGCTGTAACCGGAAGTACGATGACCTTGAAAATATTTTAACTTGGTGGGCACCACGGTCCGTATCACACCATCACAATTTCAAAAAAATCCTTAGAGCGGTTTCCCAGATATCCATCGATGGCGTTCAAGGTGGTACACTCTGTAGACACACTTTTTTTCAAGGACTTCAGTATAAACCAGCCATATCTAAGAATAAAAAAATCTTCTCTAAACATGTTGGCTGGTTATTGGAAAAATGTGTTCCTCGCGACAACCAGTGGAAAAGGACTGAAAACAAAAACAAAACTCGAACAAAATGTAGCGCGCTTGATGGAAACAAGAGTTTTGGGTTTGTTTCAGTTTTGTTGTTGTTTTGTTCTAGAAAACACAAACATGACATAAACTCAACTGTCCGTTTAGTGGAAAACCGCCATTAGAAACCCCAGTGTTGTTGAAAGTAACCATTGTGCATTTCGTCATCACGTAACTGATTGAAAAATGGCTGCAAAAAGCTTTGTCTATATCGCAAATAAGTAATGTTATCTTCAAATAAAATACGTCCAATTATTCTTCGCCGAGATATTGCTACCCAAACTCCTATGTATTTTAACAGGATGTAAAGTCGTTTTCATTAACACGTGTGTATTCTCCCCAGACCACGTACGATAATTGTGTGAATATATGTATCCACTAAGATGAAACCATGCCTTATCGGTAAAAAAGTTATATCTAAAGAATTGCCATCGTTTCAGTTGTTGTTATACCAGTTACAATAGTCCACTCTTTTTTCATTATATGATGGTAATAATTCCGATTATTTAAAAGATTAACGACAAATTCAAATAAAAACACTAACATCGAACACAAATAAATATTACGGCAACAGATCGCGTCGCGTCGGTCGGAAATCTAAGAAAACGGAAAGTAATTTTAATCAAATAGAAGTAAATTTTAATATCTTTGGTAACATTTACGCGTGTCATCTTCAATCATTCTGGATCGCACGGTATAATACAGGTCATATTTTGAAGTTGCAACGTAGCTTAGCAACAATTTTTAAAAAGTGATGCCATTCATTTACGGAGTAATTTTAAACCTGTTTTTAATAGTATCTGATCTGAACGTACTTGCAATTTTATTGTTGCGGCATTAAAATATTGTCCCACAAAAGTGTACTAGTGTGCGAGCAGCTTTACGCATCAAAACAAACCTATTTACCGATTGAAAGTTGGTGTCGAAGAACCTGAAGCCTTGGTGAAGGGCAGCGAAGAACAATATGTAACCCAGGCATTTGTAAACATTAGGTAGAGTACAGAATTTCCTCGCTAGGGGTGCGTGACATACATAGATGTACCTCTGCACTGCCAACGCCAACGTCAGCCATATACTTGCCGTGTGGAACATGTTGGGGATAATCTGAAATAAAAACGCAGCTTATAATTTCATTGTGGAACTTCGCCCCTGTAAACAAATTACACAAATTAAGGCAGGATTTAGTGGTGGCTTAACATGAAATTTTGTATGGAGACCAAGTTCCTATATTATGGTTATTTGGGAATAAATAGCTGTGTGTTACATACGAAGTAGGCGTAGTTATAGCAAGGTTGAAGTTTTGGAGGATTATTAGTTTTGATCACGAATACCCAGGGTGTATTTTGAACTAATATTATACAGGGTGAGTCAGAAAGAATGGGTCAACACTAAACTGGAGATACTAGACACCAAAATATTATGTTTGAGCTCATCACGCCTTATACGAATATCGCTGGTTTAAGAAATACAGGGTGTTCAAGGTTTCAATTTGATTCTTAAATTTCTCAATAACTGAGAAAGTTTTGATAGCGTAACTCTGAAACTTGGTAGTGTTGAGTACTTTGGTGTAAGAATTACGAATTTGAAGCTTATTTTGACGTTGCTCCTAGAGGGCGCTAGTTTCACCATATTATTTAGGTAAATCGGAACATATTTTTTTGATCTGTTGAGCTATGCTTTAAAAAATTTAAAAATCTAAAAGAACGTTGAATTCTACATAAAAAATGTACTCTTGTTTAGGTCGCCTATCTTTATCGGTTTCTGAGTTATTTGCATTTAAATGTTTCAATGTATTTTGTGGTGATTTTCTTTCGGACGCTTATATTGCTATTTCTTTTCTAAGTAGGCTTTTGTCAAATTTTCATTTCAATAAATATTAACGTATTTTGCGTGTGTCTGATTTATTATTCGTGCAAAATTATTAGCTAGTGATCAAAAAATGCCATGGCAATAATTTTTCTAACAGTGAGATGCATGATATGATTTGTGTTTTTGCTTAGGTTAATTTTAATGAACATGCGACGGCCCGAAGATATGTGCAATTGTACCCTAATAGATTACGTAATTATAAACTATTTCAGCTGGCACAGTTGGAAGTCCGCACGACAGATGGACCCATTTGCGCTCCCGCGTACAATATATTTCCTTGTCGTGACGATACGACGAAGAACAGCTGGGTCGTTTGTCGGTTGTCGCACCTATGACACACTGATGAGGACTAATAACTCCGAAACCGGTCTGTGTCTGGTGGGTTAAACTGACAAACGATCCTAGCTATTGCACTAGGTGTTGCGAGTATAATTCAATGCCGGTAAGGGCATATAGCTCTCGGAGTAGTTGTATCTCGCAACACTGACAATTCGCCACTTTATTTACTTTAAAAACGGTATAATTGTTACATAATCATTAAATTGTATCATTCCTGAGAAAAATGGATTTAATTTTTTTACGGTAGCTACGATCATTAGTTATGGATAGCCGAGTATTTGGAGATATTCTAGTCTAACTAAACCTCACTTTTTGTAAATTTGCCATTGAATTAAATGTTTTTAAATTAATTTCGAGGCACTTCACTCAAAAACCTATATCTAAGTGGACACTGACCTTTTACACAGAAGTAGGTTAGTCTAAATCGTAAAAAATACTTAGTTAGATTATACTGATGATTCCGATAAACATTTTGTCCATTTCTTTAAAGCATTTTAGCGATATGCAATACGATATTTTAGAGATAGGTACTTTTTTACAGTAATTAAAGTGAGATTTCACAAACCACCTCTCTTTTCTCAAAATATTATCGGCGGCTTTTATGTTTTAGGGAAAAAATAACTTCATATTCATATTGGGCTACCCCAAAAACTCCTTCAAATCAAATTCCATTGAAATTTCTTTAGAAGTGGCGGAAGCGGTTATAACTTTTTAATGAAGTAAAGTTGTATTAAGGTAACTCGATCTAAACCAGTTTATTTTCTCTCATGGACCCTTGCGGTATTGCCTGTTCGTTTCCGGATCCTTTATGAAATAAAATTTAATTATGGAAGATGCATAGTAAATTATAAAATGACCTTTAAATGTATTCATTATAAATACTTTCGGTGAAAATATTAAAAGCAGGATTTCATATGAGGAAAAAAGTTTTTATATGTTTATAAAGAGTAGACATTACATTAAATAGGATATCGTCCTCCGTGATCCACCCATACTCGATTTCTTTTAAGAAAATTCTATAACACGCATACCTGGGGCTGAATTTCGTTGATAACTTTCCGAATTTCTGCCTTTAATTCGGAAAGGTATTCATATGAACTGAATAGTTTTTGGACTTTAAGAATCTCCGCAGGAAAAAGTCGTATGGTTTTCTATTAAAATAATTGAAATGAATAAAAACTATGGGGAGATATGGAAGTGGGAGAAAAATCTGAAAGCCAGAAATTTCAACAATGCATTAATTACGCTTTTCTATTGTACAGTTTGACTTGAGAGTTTGTTTAACTTTCTGCGTTTGAAGTGTACATTTTGTGTGTCTATAGTTTTTTAATTAAAAAACACATTTTCGATAAATCGCAGCACACGCAAATACAGTCATATTTTTCAGATCGACATATGTAAACACGAAATTTAAGTGTTCATCCAAATGGTGTTTACCAATTCCTGGTTCACTCGAAAATGCAATTAGCAACCGTGTGCGTCATATATGAGTATTACGCATGGTATAGTTTATTTGAACGCTTTCGCAATTATTATTGTATTTCCCAATAATTTTGTAGATAATAATAATCGGAAAACAATGTGTTTTGGGATTACTATTCTCGTGCGAAAACTTACGGGCAATTTGTCAATTGACAAAATTGGGAAACTATATTCCTTTCAAGGAGGGTGGTAAATATAATAAATTTTGTGATATCATAAAAACCCTATATTTTTATCCCTCGTTGCAAAATATACTGTTTCATATAAACCCTTTTCCGACAGTGAATTAAGCGAAATATATCCTTTTAAAGGAAGATGGAAGGAATTGATGGAGTTCTGGAATCTGGAATCTGTTTTCCAGAATTAACGCATGTTTTGAAATCACATACCATATTTCGAACAGTTTCCATAAAACAATTACCTAAGTTGTGTTATTGCTTGAAAACAATGTTAAATATGTTTTTAATCAAGAAAATAAACACAACTTTCAAAAAAATATTTGGAAGTATACAGGTTGTGCCATTTAACACTCCGGCTGCCAATATCTTCGAAATGAAAGAATTTATATTAGTTCCGGCAAGTGGGGTTGTTAGGTCCCTCGAATAGTTTCAATTTGCAGTTAGAATTGTTAGTTCAAATCTTTCTGTATAGATGGCGTGATGATACTAAACAATTTTTCGATTCTTGGAACGTGGAAATGCGGCCCATCTGAAAGATCGTTAAATTTTGAAGTTATATAAAGTTTTTCACAATATTTATTTCTTATGATGTAACAGGAAAATCTATTATTTTATTTAAATCACACCGAGACAAATATTTACACCACATACTAACTAACTAATAATAAATTATAAAAAAAACAAATGATTAACTACAGAAAAAGTAACAGAAATTATTTAAAATAATAACGGAGATGTAGAAGTACCTAGTTACTGAAGAAAGTTAAAACAAAGATTATAATAAATGTTCAAAATTATGTCCTTCAACATTAATACACAATGTTAGTCTTTTCGTTAGTTCGACATTACAGGCTCTTAATAAAATTTCACGATCTAAAGTCGCAGTAGCTGCATAAATTTTGTTATACAAATCTGCCATGTCTTCTATAGGGTTCTGATAGAGATTCTTAAATGACCCTATAGGAAAAAAATTAAAGGCGCAAGCTGATAAAACTGAAATTATTCGAAAACTAATATGTGTCATACATGTTTTTTTTTTTATAATTTATTCCTTGTTAGTTAATATGAGGTGTGAATAATAACAATATAACAATATTTTAAAAGAATATTTTGTCTCAGTATGATTTAAATAAAATAATAGATCTTCCTGTTACATCATACATTGCATGTCGACATGTCTCGAAAACAAGTAAATATTGGGAAAAACTTTATATTACAAAAATTACTCAAAATTTAACGATCTTTCAGATGGACCGTATCTCTACGTTCCAGGAATCAAAAATTTTTTTAGTATTTAACTGCAATTTGAAGTTATTCGAGGGACCTAACAACCCTAGTTTCAAGAACTAAAATAAATTTCTTCATTTCGGTATGTGACACACTGTATACCTATATACATTATCATGAACAAATTTCAAATTTATTTGAGCGATAACACAACTGAAATACTTTTATGGAACTTTATTTAAAATACATATGTTATATTTCAGTACACACACCATTGATTGTGAGAAATTTATTATTGTTCGGGCAATATACTCTTGTCTGTAAATTGAAATTTCTAAAAATAGTTCGGATATGATAACAAGGAAGTTACAACCGAATCTAACATTTTCGCGAAACGACACATAGTAGATGAGTTGCCGATGAGTGAATGGAAATTGTGACAATTCAAAGTAGTAGGCCTTAATGCTTTTAAAGGGTGTTCAAATTAGAGTTAACTTACCTACCCTTGTTGTTAAAGTACTAGCTTTCGTGAACTATTAATAATTTCATGAAGCAACAGTTGAATCTCCAATTAAAAGAATGGGACTAATGTTATTTGTACTAACAAGTTGAAAATAACTATGTATCTGTTGGTTTATTTGTTCATGGGTAATTTTCGCTCACCCACCAATGAGTGAATACAAAACAAACAAAGAAAAATATACTAAGTAATACGTTTTCTATCGATCGAAATTGGATAGTTTTATTTACTCGGGTGTTTGAAAGGAAATTAAAATTTAATTGATATGTTCGTTTTTAATAAATTTACTTTTATCCTGTTTATTGTTTTCTTTTATGACTACATACATGATGTACGCAATTTGCTCACTACTTTTGTGTAGGCAAAGTTTTTAAACGAGATCAAAGTGAGTATGTGATGTTCTTGGATCATAAACACCATACGAGAAAATACCTTGATCATTTTGTAATTCGTGTTTTTAATGATAAATTGGAATTTTAAACAATAGA